CTCCTGCTGATGTTCAGGTGTATATCAGTATGTAGTGTCTCTACTTTAAAGAGTCCTCTCCTGCTGATGTTCAGGTGTATATCAGTATGTAGTGTCTCTACTTTAAAGAGTCCTCTCCTGCTGATGTTCAGGTGTATATCAGTATGTAGTGTCTCTACTTTAAAGAGTCCTCTCCTGCTGATGTTCAGGTGTATATCAGTATGTAGTGTCTCTACTTTAAAGAGTCCTCTCCTGCTGATGTTCAGGTGTATATCAGTATGTAGTGTCTCTACTTTAAAGAGTCCTCTCCTGCTGATGTTCAGGTGTATATCAGTATGTAGTGTCTCTACTTTAAAGAGTCCTCTCCTGCTGATGTTCAGGTGTATATCAGTATGTAGTGTCTCTACTTAAAGAGTCCTCTCCTGCTGATGTTCAGGTGTATATCAGTATGTAGTGTCTCTACTTTAAAGAGTCCTCTCCTGCTGATGTTCAGGTGTATATCAGTATGTAGTGTCTCTACTTTAAAGAGTCCTCTCCTGCTGATGTTCAGGTGTATATCAGTATGTAGTGTCTCTACTTTAAAGAGTCCTCTCCTGCTGATGTTCAGGTGTATATCAGTATGTAGTGTCTCTACTTTAAAGAGTCCTCTCCTGCTGATGTTCAGGTGTATATCAGTATGTAGTGTCTCTACTTTAAAGAGTCCTCTCCTGCTGATGTTCAGGTGTATATCAGTATGTAGTGTCTCTACTTTAAAGAGTCCTCTCCTGCTGATGTTCAGGTGTATATCAGTATGTAGTGTCTCTACTTTAAAGAGTCCTCTCCTGCTGATGTTCAGGTGTATATCAGTATGTAGTGTCTCTACTTTAAAGAGTCCTCTCCTGCTGATGTTCAGGTGTATATCAGTATGTAGTGTCTCTACTTTAAGAGTCTCTCCTGCTGATGTTCAGGTGTATATCAGTATGTAGTGTCTCTACATGTCTCCATGCTTTAATGTTCAGAAAGCTCTTTATTTCTCTCATACTGCCTGTGCTGCAGCACCTCTTTTCACCCTCTGTCTGAAACCAGAGCCCAGTCTGCTCTGATTGGTTAGCTGGCTGGCTCTGTTGTGATTGAGGGAACACAGAGATTTTAGCCTTTGCAGACCATTTACATGCACACAACCATATATAACACACTGCAGGAAAGAAACCTCAAAAAGCCAAAGAGAAGACAAACAAAATGTACGCACATCACTGACACTAGGCTTTTTGAGTGGAAAAGCATGAACATAAAGGAGACACAAACCATCCATTAGCCTAATCCTACAGTTAATACACTGGTGCAGGGATGAAGTTATTTAGTAGGCAAAAAGAAGTTAGCAACGCAAGGGCTCCATCGTTAAAAAACAATGGTATTTTTCCATTGGATATCAGTATATTGCAGAAAATAAGAGGATAATCACCCCATATTAACACCGCTTCTTTATATTTGAAGCGTAAATAAGGCCTGCTTCTCCACAAGTGTGAGGAAACGGCTTGTAGCTGCCACATTTTTGCCGCTCTTGGACTACGGGGATGTTGTGTACATGAACGCCTCAGCTCACTCACTTCATCTGCTGGACGCTGTCTACCATGGGGCTCTGAGGTTCATAACAAACTGTAAACCCCTCACACACCATTGCACGCTGTACTCTTTAGTCAACTGGACATCATTATCAATGCGCAGATCACTGCACTGGTACAAACTCATCTATACCGCTATGCTTGGACTGCTGCCCCTCTACATATCCACTTACATATCACACAAACAGTACAGCTATAGCCTACGATCTCAAAATGACATCACTCTGTCCGTCCCCTCAGTACGCACGGTGCTTGGGAAAAAAGCCATATCATACTCTGCCCCCTCGACCTGGAACACACTTCAGCAGGAACTTAAGCTGACCAGTTTGATACCCATCACAGATTTTAAACTTTTTTTTAAAAAGCTGGAGAAATCATCTGTGGGTGTTTGCACCTGCTTTAACTGACTGCTGTATATGGATTTCAATGACTACTTTTTTTACGATGTTGTATTTTATTGTTGCCTCTGTGTTTAGTGTCCTGTCTGTCTGTAACTTTGTGTGGTAGTGTTACCACTGAGGTCTCTCTTGAAAATGAGACCTTGTGTCTCAATGAGATTTTACACCTGTATAAATAAAGGCTAAATAAAAATAAATAAAAAATGCCAGACGTAAAAATCTAACATTAGGCTATAAAGAAAACTACACACAGTCATATGACTGCCCATCAGCACTGCTGAGGTAAAGGCAGCTAATGTTCGGTGTGATGACGTACAGATGTCTCATTTTGCTACCTGTTAGCAACTGCTGTTTTAGAGACACAAAGAAACTTCAGACTTTCACCAGTGAGGTATTTACTGACGTATTGTATGACGTAGAAATAAAAGGTTAAAATCTCTTCATCTTGTGATCTTATTTCAGGCATCTAACCACACCTGCACTACCCTCAGCTAAAGTGATCTACAGAGCAGATAAATACATGGAAAGTATTTAAAATAACCTGTGGAGCTATCTGTATTATCAGAGTGTTCAATCAGGACTCGCCCTGGAGTTGTTCAAACCAGTGACAACCAAACACACCAAAAACAACACTACCAGGACACAGAGCAGTGATTCAGGAATGTACCCGTGTAGCAGGCATAACAAATGTTGCAACCACTATCCCTGTTTACGTCAGACCAAACTCAAACATCCTGTAGCTGCAGGGACATTTAGGAACTATAACAGGAGTGATTTATACCGCTGTTAACTAACTGTTCTATTAATAGGCAGCAGGGTCCGGGTAAGTGCTGTTCTTTAAGCTTTATTGCACAGCACACAGTAACCAGTGACGTCAGCTCAGATGTCGACACCCTGCAGCAGCCTGGGACTTCAGACACAGCAGGGGAACTTGAGACAGAGTTTCAGTTGCACCAACATGTCTTTAAAGCAGAAGTTGACCATCAGTCCAAATAACAGGGTGTAGGTGTTCTGGTCAGACGCTCAAAAACAGTTTAGAAGAAGAGCTATCATCTAACATCAGAAAAAAGGGAACCCTATGGATCCACAGACCCCCTCCACCTCCCCCAGGAAGCCCTCCCTGCTTATTTTTTGGCTGGACCTTTGGCAAAGGTCTCATTTATAAAGCCTTGCGTAGGATTCACGTGGGAAGGTTGCTTACGTAGTACAAAGCAAATAAATACGCACAGAAATGTTCCGATTCATAAAAGACTGCGTACCGGCGTAGGACTTGCGTGCGGCACGTCCTACGCCGGTTTCCCTTTATAAATCACAATCAACTCGAAATGCGGCGCAGCTTTTGCGGGCTTCACGTAACGCCCATATTTGCCTATAAATAGTCAAAGAAACGCCCCGTATTAATATTCATTTTGACTGATTGCATGAAGAAGATCGCAGGAAATGACGACAGAACAGCTAAAAAAGACATCTCACACCGAGTCAGATTTAGGTTCTTTTGGGAAGGTGGAGACAAATCATATTGTTTGGTGGATGCAGTTTGAACCAGAGTAGCAGCATGGAGGTCGGATCGTCACCAACATAAATAAATAAGTGGTCTGAAAAAAGTTAATGACAAAATACACATAACCTTCCTCAGGCAGTGTGTCAGTGTGTTTGTGCCGGGGACAGGAGACACCCCCATGATGAGCAACTGTAATAAAGTATCGGGGGATCCCTGCGGAGTGGAGTCAATTAATGTTTATTTTTTTATTTGGTGGGTTGTGTTCCAGCTGTCAATCAGCTGTGCACAGCGTCTCCACTGCAGCCTGTGCGTCTCAACCCCCCCCCCCCCCCCCCCCCCCGCAGCAACTCTGTCTCCACCAGTTAAAGGAAATAAAACTAATGTGTTGAGTTATATCAGCTGCCAAATCTACCAAATATATGGTGTTCTTAGTTTCCATACCTCCTGTGCTTTACGAGCGACTTATCAAGTCTTGGCAAACGGCATAAAACATGATTAAACATGATAGTATATAAAACCATGCTCGTATCTACAACCTATAGAATGCAAAACGGCGTCAGTTGAGACGTAATTCTGTCCTCCTGCTTACCGCATCATTTATGAGAAAACATTTCATAACATTAAGACAACATATTCGAGGTGGTTTTAAATAACATATCCGTATTTATTTATTTCTCCAAGTTATGTTTTTGTGTGCACTGAGGAGTCTCAAACAGGCTTTTGTTTAATCATTTTAAGATTGGCTTTAATCAATGTTTGAAAATGAATTCTTCATATTTGATAAATGAGAGGTAACATTTTATTTATTTCCACATATTTCTCTCCATTCTTCCTTCTGCCAACGGTGTCGCAGTTTCTCGTCTCTCCCGTTGTTGTGCTTAGTGCGTACGCATGGGTTAGAGTTTACGTGGAGGACCGCACATTTTCCCGTCAAGTTTGTTTTTTATAAATCGCAAACATTGCTTACAAACTGGAGTACGCCATCTTTTGAGCGTCCGCACCATTTATAAATGAGACCCCTGGCCAGCCCTATAGACATAAAACACTCTGTAATCATTTGTGCTGATCCACTTCCTCAATAAATTCAAGAATCATTAAGCAGCACAGGGTTGCGCAATGAAATACAGTAGCTCATCTGCTACACGAGAGAAATGTAACGACAGAGAAATATCTCTTCCTTGTCTTTCATGGAGCTCAATCCTCCCTTGGTGGTGATTGGTCCATATCGCTCTCATAGGCTCCAATAATAAAGATGAAAATGTACAATTTAAAAGACGTCCTATTATGCTTTTGGGAGTTTCCCTTTTCTGTAGTGTGACATATATGTTTCAAATCCCAAAGCCCCTCCAAAGGGAGCTTCTCTCCCACACAATTACAGCCTCTCATTTCTCTAGTTTGTTCAGTGATGTATATGAAAGTAATCAAATCAAATCAATCAATTGGACAAATCAAACAAATGATTCCATCAATCAATGAGTGATGTTCTGAATAAAACTAGTCTCAGAGTAAAGCAGGACTCACTTTGGCTGAGCAGCAGGGTGTTCAGAGACTCCGCCCATTTCTCCAGCTCCTCTCGACTGAACTTCCTCTTCTTACCGTGGCCCACCTGGCTCCACTGACGCATGAAGAGGAGGCGGGACCTCCGCTCTGTCACACTGGGGATCACATCTTTATAAATACTGACGCAGGAACAAATGGATTTCATTTTGAAGACATCCAATATGTGTCTGAGGACAGCATTTAAACGTCTTGAGTGTTGTGAGGAAATTCTGCCAGTTTAATGCAGTGTTATTTTATGTGGATATCTAAATTAGCTATATTCAAAATGAAGTTGAATGAAAATAAAGAGTGCTGACCTGTCTTTCTGCTCTGTGTTGGACAGGTTTGGGTTTGAAGAATGAGGACTCTGAAACAGAAAAGACAAAGTTAACTGGAAATCTTCCCTGTGTTCAACTCACTGAAACCCCAATAGACTGGTGCAGGAATTAGTCCTGAAATCCAGAATGAGTTAGCATTTTAGACATTCCAATTTCCTTTTCTCAAAGTCAATGTTTTTTTAAACTTTGTAAACGTTTTTGGTTAGATGCCTGAAATGAGGTATGTGGTTAACACAAGCTACCCCACTGGTGAATGTCTGAAGCTTTTGGGGTTTCCCCTCTCCTGTAGTGTTCTCTAGGTGTTAGTGCATGTAAATGGTCTGCAAAGGCTAAAGTCCCTGTGTTCCCTCAAGAGGGAGTTTCTCTCACATGAAAGCATTTCACAGTCGAGACACAAAATACTAATATGAAGCTGAAAATAAGCAGAATAGGGACCCTTTAAAGCTCAACGTCAGTGTTTTATTTTATGCTTAAACTATTTTAAAACAGGCATAAATATGTGGAGAGTGTCCTAAACAAAACGTGTAAGAATCACACATTTGTTTGCCACATTTCTTTTTTCTACAAACTAACTAACTAACTAACTGAGCTACAGTACTGACAGATAATAGCCTGTAAACATGTAGGATAAGACAAGCAGGATATGGTAATCTACTATATGATTTTGTTTGTTTATCATCTTGTGAGCAAATGATCATTGTGTACTTTTCTTTTAACTATTCAAAATGTAACTCAAGATGCACTCAAGGGCTTTTTCCCATGCTTTCAACTCATTCACATGGTGAGTCCCAATAGTGATGGGGATCGATCCGTTGACAGCTAGAGTGAGATTGATTCTAGATCCAGATTCTAAACTGTAATGTTTGCTGCTCTACAGACTGAAAGAGCCCCACCTGTCCGAACAGACTCCGGAGGTGCAGCTTGGCGGAGGACAGCTTGTGTTTTTGGTTGCGCCTGTGATGGGCTTTGAAGGAGAAGGGGTTGGTGGAGGAGGGGGAGCCGGGGGGCATGTCGTCCCTCTCCATGCTCTCCGTGCTGCCCTGGGCGTGGGGGGCCAGCTGGCCGTCGCTGTAGGCCCTGCAGCCCTCCCCAATGAGGCCCACACTCAGGTGGTTCTTGTCCTGCTTCCCCAGCTCAGTCAGGGTCTCCACGCTGACGCTGTGCTGCTTGGTCAGCTCATTCGCCCCCCCCTCATTGTGACCCCCTTTAGGCTCCAGGATGGTGGGGTTCAGGAGGGTGGAGCCCCCGTTCAGATCGTCCTCCTCTGTGTGAGGGGTGTAGGTGCCAGAGTCCCGGTTCCTCTGAACATCCTGGTTATTCAGGGCCACCCTCCTCCAGGGGAGGAAGTCCAGATCCAGGAGGTTCCCCTCGGAGCTGAACCTGCGCATGGTGGCTGTGTGCAAGAAAAGGATTGGCCAGATATGAGTTTTAGAAGAGCTACAGTGAAGCAACGTGAGTTAATAAAGCAGGGTGTGTCTGCTCACTAAATGGCAGCCCACATTGGATTCAATGTTCCTTTAAATTCTGAATTGACATTCTCACACAAATGTAAAATGAATAAAAATAAATTACTGTAATGCATGAGAGACCGACAAATATTTTACTATCACCATTGGCTTTGTTGGTTAGAATGTTTTACATTTACTTACTACATGCTTTATGTAATGTTGTCTTAAAGTTCATGAAGATCACTTATAGCATGACTTAGGTCGCATTCACCCAATAGTCCGCTTCTCTGGTGCGCACCAGACCACAGTTTGTTACATTCTTTCATTTTTCAGAAGGTTCGGTTTGCGTTCACACGGGCAAAACTCAAACGGACTATAAACTTTAAACACGGAAGTCATGTGCACGGAAATGCTGTTCAGCCATTGGTCAGACATTTAAAACCGCAAATCCTAGCAATTTCTACCGGAGCCTCCGCCATGGAGCATCGGCACTTTCGGCAGGTTATTCTCATGCTGCTGTCAATCTGGAGATCAACAGTCTATAGCGGCACGCGCATATGATTATATAATCAGACAACGTCCGTTAAAAAACATTATAACACATATAATGAGAGACGTTCTGCAGTAAGGAGGGGGCGTTTCACCGACGACAGGTGTTCTTACTTTTATGTAGTTGACAGAGCATTTTTACTTTACACGACACAGTTCAACACTTAATTCTGATTCACTCTTTAACTAAACAACCGCGGATGTCTTGAAAGACTCTTTCGCTAAAGATTTGGAAGACATCCGCGTTCTTGTGACTCGTAAATATTACGCTTCCTATGTTTTGGTGCGGACTGCACATTCACACCAGCGATGAACCGCTCCAGAGTTCACTTGCAAGCGGTCCGAGATCACCTCTTTTAGGCGGACCAGAGTCCGGTTGTTTAGTTCGCTTCAGAGGTCTCGGACTGCGTTCACACCAACCCAAACGAACCGCACCAAGCGGCTAAACGCACCAGGGTTCGATTCAACCGGACTATACAAGGCTGGTGCGAATGCGACCTGTTCACCTAAAAAGCCTAGTCACAATTGTGTTGTTTTGACTAAATTCTTAAAGTAATTAGTCCCAAAAAAGGTGGATTTATGACTACATTTTCATGAAAATGTAAGTTACAATGTTAAGATATTATACATACATTTTTTCTTTACCGTAAACATTTAAATATTTTTGTTCCTATTTTTCTATGCATATTGTTGGTGGGACGAGATTTTGGTAAAAACGTATACAATATAATATTTTACAAAGTAAAATAAGTCAACAATTACTCTTACTTGAGATTATGTGTAAATCAAAGTCTGATATGATTTAGTATTTTATAATTTGTACCTAGAAATTCCAGGTTAAAACAACAGCCTTTACGGAGTATAATCATTAACTATAAAACGAATACTTTTAGCTCAGTATTTGAACTTTCTGGTAGCCTATACCTTTTGTATTTTTGTCATCGTGAAGTTTGTGTCCATTGTTTTGTTTTGTTTTACACAAAAAGCCTTCCTTAAATAGCTACTGCAGATGAACATAAAGTAGGCTACTTTACTGTTATCACTGGACAGATTATGAGGAAGTAGACCTGAATTATACTCATGTTATACTGCTGACAGTCTAAATTAATGACATGGCACCGAGCCCTTTAGCCCTTTGCTCATCGCTGCACCCTGAACACAACAGTTGAAAACGCCAGTATTTACCTGTTCGTCCTGCGGGTTTAGACTCTCTCCATGGCAGACAGTCAGATTCCTCAAGATTTCATGAGCGACATGTGCACGAGCTCAGGTTTCCGGATCCAGCAGAGTCGTTTTCTGGTCCCAAGAGACAGAGAGAGGCTGGACTGCAGAGCTGTACCTGGATCAGTCGGACCTCAGCACTCCACACGGACACAGGCTGGAGAAGCCTCACGGAAGAAGATATAACTTCAGGTAAAGTTCCATTGAGTTTCCACTTGAGTGGCCGAGAGGCTGCCTCCCCCTCCTGACTGCCGCGAGACACACCTTTACTCTGCCTGAACTTGTCTTTCACACTGAGACTCCTGCAGGACACACACGCACACACACACACACACACACACACACACACACACACACACACACACACACACACACACACACACACACACACACACACACACACACACACACACACACACACACACACACACACACACACACACACACACACACACACACACACACACACACACACACACACTCGTGAGGTGTGTCCTGAAAACACTCCACTGACAGGCAGCTTCAGTGTTGACAATACATCTCAGTGTGTGAACAAGTCTAGAATAAATAAAGCAACAGTTTACACTACAACATTAAATATGACAACACATAATAGTACACATTTCTACTACTGCTACACATAGGCTATACTACTAGTGCTACAATCAACAATAATAATAGAAAATACTTATAATTTATTTGTATACTTTTCTGAATGTATAATCTGATATGGAGGTAAACTTTAAAAAACCTGGCACGTTCGAACACTTGAAATAGAAACACTTTTTTAGATACACTTTGCCAAAGTGGCCAAAATAGAAAGGCGCTCAGGCATGATACGGACGCCTCTCTTTGGGGTCCTTTGACGTTGCGTTCACTGTCGTGGTTAATTTGGGGAAATCAAGGGAAATTAAGCTAAAAGGTCAACCCAAATACCCCGTCATTCTGAAAAGTAGTTTATTTTTTAAATAATGTTTATATCAAAAGCATTACCTCCGTTAAACGTGGACAACATTGTCCCCGCTGGAGAAGCTGTTATCACTGTGACTTCCCCCGGTGACTGAGATAAGCTAACGTTAGCTGGGTGGCTAACGTGCTAAAAACAACAACAAAGCAATGAGCTTCCTGTGAGCTCAGTCTGATGAACCTCTGATCGGAACACTTATCAGATCCATGGTGGGGGAAGGTTCTTAGCTCGGTTCTTCTCTCCTCCACTTCCCATATTAAACATTATCCCTAATGCAGCATAATAAACATTAACTGCCAAAAGGCTCATACTTTATTATTGCACAATAAGAAAATATGTTATGCAATGAAAATATATATTTTTTCAAGACGCTGGTGCATTGTTTAAGACTGGTTTTCATTTGGGCTTCTTTCATTGTTCTTTATCTTAAATATCTTTTTTTTATGCAGTAGGTGGACACCTGTTTTATTAAACAAAATGCTGTGTTTGCTTTTAATTCATGTGTTTCACTAAAACAGCAGGAGAAAAAGAGAGTGTAATCAGGGTGTATTACTTTAATATTGTGATACTCAGATTAGGTTACTGATTACACATTTTTATTTACATGTAACTAGTAATTGTAACAGAATATATTTTTAAAGAATCCCTCCCCATCCTTATATAAGCTGCTGTGTCTCTGTCTGTCTGCCAGGCGAGGAGCGACATCAGAGGAGATGCAGACTGCAGCGCTCACAGATTCCCTAACACACACACAGAGCTTTCTCTATGGGACACACTTCAGGAGCACACTGTGGCACCATCTGTACACATGGCCTCAAAGTGCTTCCTGCTCTGCTGCAGACTGACGTCCCCGGCTGAAGGCTGTCAGAACGGACACCCTGCAGACCGTGGAGCTCAAACAGACCCTTTGCTGTTGGAGACAACATCAGGCCAGAGCAAGAGAGGAGAGGGCCACAGGACAACAAATGTAATCCCCCTCTGTAGTGACAGCAGGCTGAGCATTATAGCATGAGATACCTTGGATTATTACTTGAAGAAAACAAATAAGAATTGACAGTTGAGTTAAAAAAAAATGTAAACTATAATAATAAAACTCTGTTGTAAAGTCTGAATGTGCCAGTAAAAGTCTGAAAATTATATAAATTAAGTTGAAAGAAGAAAACGGTCATATTATAATTAAACTTGAAAGTCAAATGTTTATAAAATCCTAATGAGAAAATGGTAATTGTCCGTGGTGTACAGTAACAGTGATGCTAGAGAAAAAGTAGCTGTTGGACATGTGAATTGTAATGTTCTCATATGAATTTGAATTTCCTTTCAACCTTTTTCTTGCTATATCTTTTTATTAAAATGGCTTTATGCCTTTTTCTCAAAATATGAGCATTTTCTCCTGAATAGAGATGTTTGTGTCTTTGCAGTAGTGAGTCATGAGAAGTTCTTTCCTCTGCTAACTGAGTCGTTTCATTGTATATCTGTACAAGGCAAAACTGTAAATGAGATCATATTCATAATGACGTGCAGTGATGTCATAGCGCTGTGGCGTCAGGAAAGTAGTGTAGTAGCTTCTTGACAATGAAACAGATTTCCTGTTTTTATTTTATTATCTTATCACCACAAGGTTTTGAGTTCAGATCAAACTAAAATGAAGCAGTTGGTGTACTAATGTACATGAAGCAAGTCAGACATTTTTTTGAGGATTTTTGTTTCAGAAGATAACGTGAGAGCAAGAGTTTGTGTTTCAACATGGAAAGACATTTCGGCAGTTACACCCTGGGATATCATGTTCATCACATCATACATAATATGATATTAGCCATGAGAGCCGTGTTTATATGTAGCAGTCTCATTGGAGTGTTCCCTCTTTCTCTGCTGCCTCACTGAGTTTATTTCTCCATTATTATTTTTTAGTCTAGTAATGGATGCATGCTTGTGATAAAGGAAATAGACTCATACCTAGAATCAAACAATGTCCCTATTGGTAAATGTATTAGCCTTTTTCTCTTGCCTGTGAGGTTTCACTGCCCCCTGGTGATGTGTGAGGGCATTCTCAGTCACCACTGCTGCTGCACATCCTCAGTGTCACAAAGAGAAGCCTTCCTGAGCAAAGAGTTAGCAAAAATGATCACATATGTTCATAGGACCACAGAAGAAAAATCACTCTACATTAAACCCACCCTAGTGTTAGGAGCAGGGGTCCCTAGCAAAGGTTACACTTAAAGCCAAGTTAGGAGGGTGACTTTAAAAAATGTATTCCATAAAATGACTAATAAGAAAATGTAATCAGTAACCTAATCTGAGAATCACAATTGAAAAGTAATGTAATCTGATTACTTTCTGTTACTTTTGGATTTCTGCAATATCAAATGCAATGTGAATAAAGACAAGAGAAAATAAATAAAAATAATATGTTGTTTACATATGTGTATTGTGTAAGACAACAGAACAATGTGACCTTAGAAAAGAAACCAAGATAATTAGTCAAATAAATGTGTCCTCTTAGATTATAGGCTAGGACTACTGAATAGTTTAGTTGCTGTTTAGGAATGACATGAATTAAAAGCAACAATAGTATTTTTGTTTAATACATCAGGTTCCATCTACTGCATTTAGAAAAAGAAAATATCTCTGAAATGTTTTGACTCCATTTATTTAGAAACTCTCTATGTTAACAAAGTCAATTTAACATTTGGATAAACTTGTCAAAAAACAATGTCTATTTATTTTTACAATGCAGAGCACTTCCTTAAGGAAAGTTAACTAAAACAGATGGTTGATGAATTTCAGTCTAGTGTCTAAATAAATACAATAATAATATCTGCAAGGCCTTGATATAGATGTTTCTTTATTGATTTAAAAATCACTTTACCGCATATTTTCTTGGTAGATTGGACAGTGACAGCTGGCTCAGGTGACTCAGCACAGGTCCCAGACCAACACGCACCTTTCAGACTGGCTTTCATCGTGTGATTCATGTTGTGTTCTTATGCTAACTGTTGTTTTAATAGCTCGATTTGAAATTCATCCTTTATTTATTTATTTTTTACCACCGTTATGTTTCTTTGAGCATCTGATAAAGCGCTTGGTTATAAAATGTATTATTATTATTGTTACGACTCTGCAGTGTTTGAATGTTTATTTAGTTACAGTAGGGGGGTTAACAAAATGGGACTAAAGAGGAGTCTATTTTAGTTTATTATTCACTGAACTATTCGTAGCTGCTACAGACTTCAACTCAAAAGTGTTTATTTGATATAAACTAATGCCATGGTGTCACCTGCAGTGATCGAGCTATACACTGACAAGACTGGAGGGAACATTACATGGAACCTGATGCATTTTGATCTGTTTACCTCTGTGAGCGATTTAAATGTGAACATTGCTTTTAATCACTTTGGTTGGGAACGAAGCAGTGGTTTGCAAAAATATAGTGGTGCAGGAATGAGTCCTGAAACACAGAAATTAGTGAGCATTTTACCACTTCCGGTTCCCTCTTCTCAAAGTCAAGTTTTTTTTAACTTGATAGTAGTTAATGCCTGACATAAAATCTATCTACACAAGCTCAAGAGATTTATAAAATGTAGTTCTACGACATAAAATATGTAAGTAAATCTCCCACTTGTAAATGTCTGAAGCTTCAATGGTCCATAAAAACAGCGGCTGCTAACATGTGACTAAATGTAACCACAAAATGTTGAAACGTCAAATATTAGCGGCTTTTAGCTTAGCGGTGATGATGCCCAGCCATGCGACTATTATGTAGTTTGTTTATAGCCCATCTTAAGCTTTTTTTTCTCTCATATTAAAATCGATTGCATTTGACAACAAAAATCATAAAGTAATGTTAATATGAGGAGATTATCCTGCTGAAAAAAAGTGTAAGTATCATGAACATGTGTTTGCCATAGATCTTATTTTCTGCAATATACTGAAATCCAATGCAAAAATCCCATTGCTGGAGTTAGCCAATGCAATGGTAACTTGGGGTCGGCCTACAAAAAGACGCCATCACTGCACCACTAGGTCTTGCCTCTCTTTGGCAACGTTACATTTCATGAAAACCGTTACATCCTGTTTGTGCAGGAGTTACATGCTGCAACGCTTTCTCGACGTTAAGCTGGGTGCGTTTCCCTGGAGTCGCCAGGTATGGTATGATACTGCTGCTCAACAACACGCAAGCAAACGAGTGCAATGACAAGGCAAGCTGCCTCGAAACTTTTGTACACAGTCAACTACAGAAGCTAATCCAGGGGTTCTAGCTCGGCTCAGAGGAACACATTTGGTACATATATGACAATAAGAACCAGGTTAAAGAAATACCACAATTTTATTTTAACGTGCAGATAATGGATCTGGACGTGCAGATAATGGATCTGGACGTTGCAATGCTAGCAACAAGTTTTACAACTTCAAAATTAAATAGTTAAAACTGACCACAAATGTTTTACAAATGGTAGTTAGCATGCAGTACCTTTTGTTTCAAAATACAACAACCCAGTGTCTGTCTAGCAGGGATGAAAGCCATGTGACTTCCGTTTGTGAACACCCAGTTCAGTTTTCAGGTTAAACACTTAAAGTCAGAAAAACACGAAGCAGTATAGAGTCTTCATGTATTCGTGTTTAATTCAGGGGCAACATTTAGAGATATATGTGTTGTTCCTATGTTGAGAATGATTCCACTCTCCATTGTTCCTCTGACGTCTTCCTGGGCTCAGTTTCTGCTCTGGCGCAGCGAGGACAGGAGGAGGGGCAGCAGGTTGAGAGCGGGTCGATGCTCCTGCGCCCCCAGCGCTACCAGAGCCCCCACCAGGAGAGACGTTACTGTGGGCACGACCGGGGGCTGAAGCGGCATCACCTGGAACAGAGACACAGGAAGCTCACATCCATAAACGAAAAGCCTCATCGATAAAAGTGTTCTTTCTCTATTTATAACTACAGATGTAACAGCAATGTCTGGCATTTCTTAATTTTTTTTCCTTGGCCCTTTAGCTTATCAATATTGATCTTTTTTAAGAATCTTCACTTGATTTGTGACAACTCTTTGAAATTTGACAAATCAGTTCAGTCGCGAAATCTTTTTTCAGATTAGACGGTAAAGTCCCATCTTTCTCCCAAAGATCTGAACAGAGCTATATATGTCTTTTACCTCTTGGAGTGAAAAAACTAAATGGGATCACATTTCATCAGTATTGTAACTTTTCCTGAGACATGCAAGTGCTTTGGCATTTGTAGAACAGCCAATAGGAACTCTCTCTTTGGAATGATCTGTAATACGGGAAAGTCTACCATCATAGACAATACTGTGTCTCACTTCTGATACTTCCTCTAGTACACTGCCATGTGGTTCACTGTAAACACTTGTGAATTTCAACCATGTAGTGTCGTCTCACATTGCACACGGCTGCTGTGCCCACACAGAAAGTGACGATCAGCTAGTACTGAGATATTTTAAAATTACATTTTTGCTCAATATTTCCCCAAAAATATATTGCCTGAAAGAAAGCTTATAAAGATGTAGCTGGTGGTTCTAGAAATATTTATGGAAATAAAAAATGTGGCAGCCCCTGCTCTCAGAACATCCGCTAGTTCGGTGCTCACCGTTTCAACTTTATGACAGTGAATGAGTCCATCCGGTCCAATGTAAAAAGTAGAGAATGCATCATATGACCTATAAAAGAAGACATTTGGATGCAATTAAAACCATTGTGACAAAATACTTGAGAATAAGTGTGCTCCTATTGATCGACCACCAAAATACAACAAAATATTTAAACTTGAGGTGGAAAAATTGAGCTACAGAGTTCATTGCAGAATGTGTGAAAGAGGATTAAGGAGTGAGATAGCAAATAAATGAACAGTGCATGATACTGTCTAATCTCTTGAAGAGGCAAAAATAATCAGCAAATATTGCTTCCAACAACCGGTTATCAGCTCCGAAAATCCTGATCGAAGCACTTTTTACATCAAATAAAACACTTACCGAAGACTTATTGCATATTTAATGAAGCGAAGGCTGTGTAAACAGTGAATTTAGATATAGTACTGTAAGTTTATACCTGTACAGTTGAGATTTGTCTTTGCGGTAGAAGCGCAGCAGCTGGGAGGAGAAGGGCAGGCCGATGATCCTCCAGCGAGCCTTCACTGTGCCGTCCTCAGAGTGCTTAGTGAGCTTCAGCACCTCCAGCCGGGCCTTGGAGTAGTAACACACACACAGGACGCGCCACAGGGAGAGGGTCAGCTGGTACACCAGGAGGCCTCTACAACACACAGCAACAGGGGCACAGAGGAATGACCAACACAGTGGAGACATGTATACAGCGTATACTGTGTAGTAACCAAACTGCAGGAGCAGCATCACCTGGTTTTGGTATTGATGAGTCCGTTGATGAATTCCAAATTGTTGGAGTACATGGTGTAATCGTGGACCTTCGAAAAGAAACTTGGAAGCTGCAAAACAATAAGAAGGTATGGTTTAAAACGAGTCACCGTGTCGGTACTTTAACAATTTCATCTATCATTATTCAGCTTTTAATGAACCGTCTTTAGGGATGTCCCGATCCGATCACGTGATCGGGGATCGGGAGAAAAAAATCGGGGATCGGAATTTCTTTTTTTTTTTTTTTTTATAAAATATTTTTATACATTTTATTTAATGTTACAAAACAAAAATGACCATGTTCACGTCTTAAAGTCATCCTGAGGCCTTAGTTTTGGGTTAAAATTACACAACATCATGTATGTGTTGCTTCTTTTGGGCTTGTTTTCATAGACCTGGTTGCTTATTTCTCTCAAATCTGGCAACAGAGTGGGCGCAGTGTCTAATAGTAGCAGTAAGCTAACAAGAGGCTACGTTCAGCTGGTGACTCGGGAGTCGGGACAGAGAAAATGTCAGGAGTTTGGAAGTATTATAAAATTGAAAGCGAAGGCAGTGTAACAGCCAGATGCAATGTTTGCAAGGCGGAGGTTCCGCGTGGTGGAAAGAACAGAGCTACGTTCAACATGACCAATCTAATACAAACACCACCAACAACAACACGACGAGTACACAGCGGCCACTCAGGTAACGGCACTGAAACAACCGACACTTTCAGAGACTTTTAAAAGGAAAGAGAAACTACCCCAGAACAGCCAAGATAGCTGAATTCATCGCGTTGGATGACCAGCCGTTATCTGTTACCTTTTTTTTCCTCTTAATGCATTGCATAAAGATCGGATCGGGAAAAATCGGTATCGGCAGATTGTCAAAATCAAATGATCGGAATCGGATCGGGAGCAAAAAAAGGTGATCGGGACATCCCTAACCGTCTTCATTCTTTCACCCAAACAATGCTAGTGAATTGTCAACGGGGGGGGGGGGGGCCTCGCTGCGGGGAAACGGTGGACCTCTGTCGCGCAACTTCAATGATGCCGTTTAAAAAACATAAAACATTAAGGGCGCTGCCGGCCGTCAACGGTCCTTGCCGACCGGCCGTTCTGTGATTCTACAGATTCTATAGATGGCCAGTCCGCCCCTGGCATAGGCTATAGTCAACTGGGAGCCAAAACTGAGTGGGCGGCTTATCCAAACGCACCTGCTATCCTAGTTCAGGTATGTTTGATACATGTGAATGATGAAGCAATGATTCCTCAGTGGAGCAAGCCGAGTCATGCTTCAGGCAGAGCCGTGAATGCTGGTGCGCTCATGAATGGCCATAAATTACGTGACACAACTACTTGTCAAAAATCCATGTTCAAACTATTCAAACATCTATTTTTGGCACTTTAAGACCATGACCACTGTGTCTTATCTATTTAAGGCTGCAGCCACACGAGGACGATAACGGTCGTATCTGCTACAGTTCTCTATCATATAGACGGTTCGGCCACACAAGGCCGACATGGAAACGCATAAAACGATAACGGGTCCCAAGGTGGGTAGATCTGCGAACGAAACGCTCTGGGGGGGCAAACGGCTCCATGTTTACGCCTATACGATAATTTCCTGATAACGATGACGCAATAGCCCCAGTGTTTCGAGCCAGGTCCCGGTATCTCGCAGGACAGTGCACCCAGCAGGAGCTTCCAGCTAGATTTGATCGATATGGACATAAACGCGAGTGATGTCTAATCGGACAGGAGAGGAGACACGCAGCTCTGCATGATAACCTGCAGCTCCGCCCGCTGTGATGGAGTGATGAGCGGAACAAAACACACACTTCAAGTTAGATCATCACCCTTAGCTATTTTAATTATCTCTCAAACTACCTAAACTAGTTATAAATATGTTTATTTTTACTGTCGGGTCACTCATTACTAGGGATGGGTATCGTTTGAAATGTATCGATTCCGATTCCGGTTCTGCTTATCGATTCCGGTTCTTATCGATTCCCCGTTTCGATTCCAAAATTGTAAAAGATAAGAGGTCAAACGTTTAGATCAGTGGTTCTCAAATGGGGGTACGCAGACCCCTAGGGGTACGTTGGAGTACTGCAGGGGCTAAGTGAGATTTATTTTATGCTAATGAAAAAAAAAAGAAAGATAAATACCAATTTTAGGAAAAGTAACGAAGTTTGAGCAGTGTGGGTTTTACATTAATAGACTAGTTACACATATTTCAAAACGCGAAGTGTAATAACTGCAGTTGCCTCCCTGTCAGAATGACAAAGATCCTCAGTGAAGCACAAGCTCATGTTTCTCACTAAATTGTAAGTACAACTTATTAAAAAGATCAGTTCAATGCAACTAATGTCGTCTTAGTGTTATTGCATGATATTAAAATTGGTTGGCCATGAATTTAGTGATGGATTTTAAACATTTGAAAATGTAGCATTTAAGTGTTTCTCAGTTACAATGTTGTTTTAATAAATCAGACACTGATGGTGCAAGGCTGTACCTCTTAATATAGGCTTTTTTCCCCTAACAAATCGTTTTTGCGCTGATCAGGGGGTACTTGGCTGAATTTCTTTTTCAAAGGGGGTACATTATTGAAAGAAGTTTGAGAATCACTGGTTTAGATAACAAAAATATCTTTATTCTTTTAAGCTTTAACTGACATTGTTACAAATAAAAAATATACATGCAATACAAATGTATTACACAATAGCTGTGCTTTATTTTAACTGAGCTATGCCTGTGGCAAGCTATGAACAGGCATTACACTGTGCCTTGTCTTTTTCTTTTTTAGTGTAGTGGAGCCTCACTTTAGAGCGTTTACCGCGATCCATCTTTGGTGTTATGAAGTGACTGAGCTCGTGAACTGTCTACAGGAGGGCAGGGGGAGCCTCGCTGCGGGGCAACTGTGGACCTCTGTCGCCTGTCAGCGCAACTTACATGATGCCGTTTAAAAAAATTAAGGGCGGTGCCGGCCGTCAGCGTACCGAGCCCGCTGACGACCGGCCGTTCTGTGATTCTCCAGAACACACAGATGGCCAGTCCGCCCTTACCCTGTATTTCACCGGGTCACCGCGGCGCAGACGGACCCGGTGGAATACAGGGTCTACCGCGTTTAGGAACCGTTAAGCAGAACCGAAATTGTGTATTTTGTATGGGTACCCGGCATTTTCTTATCGGTTCTCATCTGGAACCGAGTTTCGGTTCCCAACCCTACTCATTACTGGATCAGCCAGCTGCATGAGACCACGGATACTGACGGGCTGTCAGGAGAGGGGGAGGAAAAGAGAGGCTCCGTCCTCCGTGTATTATTCTTATATTAAGTCTTTATTCATTTGTTTTAAAGCTCAATAAATAACAAAGAAGACCTTTGACCGGCACTTTTCTAATTTTGTCCGGAAGATTTCAACTTTAACGGACATGTTGACCGGCGAAACCCCACCTCTGCTGCTAAATCCAGCGCGGAGAATAAACAGAAGGGCAACCATGGCAACCATGCATGCGCGAGAAGTCTTCTTCACTGCTTTTGGTGTATTTTGTGGCCGAAGTACAGCGCCACTTACAGGCCTGGCATATGTACTACAGCGTCTCCAGCGCTTTCGAGCGGTCTCGTGTGAACGGACACGTTTCTGGTGCCTGTTGCGTGTGGACGGGAGACTTTTTTGATAACGATTTCGGTCCGTTTGCGTTATCGTCCTTGTGTGGCTCCAGCCTAAGGGAACTCAGGTCAGACACAGTTACTATGTTTAACTGTCATAGTTCGTGGTTTGTATAAGAATTATCTTGTTAGTTTGGATTTATAAGGCTTGAAGTTAATACGTTAATAGTATACTGATTATAACGGAAAAAAACATTTCATGGGAATATAAATGTAAGTTTAATATTAGGTCTAGAACAGACTTAGACACATTTTTTTTAAGTGTCCAGTCACTTTATAGCAAAGACTTTGTGGATTGTACCTGCTTTTGATACATGTGGAATAAAAGTCAATTTTCTTTTTTACTACAACTTCATTGGATACACACCGGTATGCCATGACAAAAGACTAACATTTTAGAAGATCCCATCTGATAATTGGTTCCATCTCTGATCTCGAAGCTGATTGGATGCCTGGTTTGTTTACGTGATTTAACGGTAGTGCATACAAACTCCCATCTGCACTGCACAAGGTAGTCCGGTTTTAGTGTTATGGTTTGAATTCACCTACTGGTTTTTCAAATCTCTAATCTTTTAAATCTTAAAAAAGGATTCCCTTATAGAAGCACATTTACTATTATTTTGTTAGTGGGATTGTTAAAATCCAGAGATTGGCAATGAAGTGAATTTTTTGCAGAAACAAGTCCTATAATGGCGCAGTTCCACTGCAGCGCGGAGCTCGCTTTAAGCGTGCCGTGTCGTGCCGTCCCCTTTTTTGGTTGTGCTTCCACTAGGCCAATTACCGGCGCGGCACGGCGCGGGGCCACTTTTTCACCTCTTTTCTGGCCCTAGAAAATTGTGGTTCTATCGGGGCCAACAAACAGGGCTGAGTCGGGCTGAGTATGCTAAACTAGAGAGAGGAGCGCTGGCAAGAGGGCTAGAACTACAACAAGATGGACATATTTGACCGTGATTTAATTGTAATACACGTTTCAAAATGATGCCGAAGTAACAACATACTGATACCGGTTAGTAAAAACCATGAATTAATGCTTTGTCAAGTCTGCAGACAGACGGCAGGCGAAAAACCTTTTAAAATTCGTGTTTTTCTAGATGGAGATTGGCTAAGCTAACGCAGTATATGTCCCGACCGTCCACACTCACAACAACGGCCTATACAGACATAAATAAAGCAGCGACTGTATTCACCATGACACAGGCAGTCTGTGGTTTGTACTTGTTTAACTTTTGTCTAGTTTCTGAACATATATAAGGAGCTGTGAGCTCTGAGTGCTAACAGCTAACGGCTGTGTTGTGTTTCTGGATTTCTCATTGAAGATGACGTCACGGCTCCGCCTACACTGCGTTACTATAGTAACTACCCCAGTTCCTAAACTGTAATGGAAGCGCAGCATGAAGTGAGTCGGCCCTGTTAAGGCCCA